GAGAGAGAGAGAGAGAGACTCATGTATTGTTCCCTAACGCTTTGCCTAAGAAGCTCTCGATAAAATTTTATCTATATTTCCCTTTAGTGATCGCAGTCGTACGCGACACACAGGCTAGTGGATTTTTCCCTTTCGTGTAGAAAGCGTGGGAACGAGATTCACGAACACGCATATATATATATATATATATATATAAATCTATAATATCAACACGCGTGTATATATATGTTTGTGTCGCATACATGTAGTACATCTCGTTTTTATCGTATTATCTTTTAATGATAGATTTCGGCCAATTTAAAATCCATTTTTTTTTTAAAGTTAAACGATACAATGTATAAAACGTATTCTAATCTAAAAGAACTAGAGAAGTTAAAAAAGATTAAAAATAGAAAAATAATAAGAAAAGACTAATAAATCCTGCATTATTGCAAGATTTTTTGAACGATACTGTTCTCTCGCTGTGCGCGTGTGTAGGACGAAAATCCATATACAATGTATTAAATATCTATATCGTACAATACTTATTCTTCATAAAAAATTGTCTTTTTCAGTAAAATATACTTCATAAGCAGCAATGCGTCATGTGAAATGTTATAATAATATAATAAATGTTCAGCAAAATGTTTAAACTGCTGACAATTGCAACGCTAAACGCTGAAATCGTATTCTTCAGTTCATTTCGTAGAATTTTACTTCAAAACTTACAAATGTTGAAAATTAGAAAAAAATAAATATTCTTTTGATACTTTTGCAAAGAAAAAAATCGTTTCCAAATTGACTGAAGAATCTATCATTAAGAGATAATACGATTGAAATAGGACACCTTGTATTTTGATAATATTACACTTCGGCTTTCGTTTCGTAGTTAACTTCGTTTCGCATTGTTGTTCGCGATATTATTTGCTAATTTGTCTTCTACGCTGAATACATATAAATTGCAATATACGCAAAGTCAGTACACGATGCTTTACAGAAACTCAACACAGCACATTAAAATACATTATTTTAAGAATAAAAGCTTCTCTGAGCCTTTACACACTGATCTCCACTATCTGATCTTTGATCAAATTACTAAATACAAGATAGAATGCTGATGTTATGTTGATACAAAAAGATTTGTTATAGTACCGGAAACTGCATATTAAGCAAACAAATAGTGAATTTATATTAAATAATCTGAAATCTCTATAATATAATAAATTCGTAATTTTTATAGTACGAATTCTTAGTTTTTGTTTTACCTCGCCGATATATAAAGTAGCTCAGGCGAATAGTAACATTACTTAGCTATTAGGAAGAACGAAAGAATACGATGCAGACAATATAAGTCGAGAAGGATCTCGATACTACGAACGACTAGTCGAACACTATCTTAATACACAAAATTCTTTTACATTCTTTAGGAACAATGAAACAAGTGTAAAACATTAAATAACCACATAAATCTACTATAAATTTTACACAATGCCTACATAAAAACTGAACTGAACCGACTAATTTAATAAAAGAAAAAAAAAAGGATAACAAACTCATTAAAACTTCAAATATTAGTCAACATATGCCTCGCGCGATTCTCAATATATATAAATACTGATAGCCTCTCTACAAAAGCTTCTACCACTTTAAGAATGTTCTAACAAGTGGTCGCGTCAAATCAATAACAGTGAATTTACGTACAACTTACGAACACAAGTTACGAATAACGAATTATATATATTGCAAATAGTAATCACGCGACGAATCTCTTTGAGCGAGACGGACATTCAAGAAAAATAACTAGAAAAATCATTAAAAACCGACTATGTATCTGACAGCTTTGGACACAGTACTGAACGCAATTTAACATCACCATCGATTAAACATTAATTGCAAGCTATTTAGAAATACTTTCACGATATTTAATGACGGACACGCAAGTCTCTTACGATGAAACACGAATTTCGATATCACGTATTCGGAATTCGTTATCACGCGTGCATCGAGAAGTGCATCATCGAAAGCTTCGTTTTATGTACGCGAATGCGTGCATACATACATAAATTCGCAATAATACATACAATAATATCGCATGCAGTTTAAATGAAATTGTCAAACACATATGCTATATCTTAATGCTCTTAACGATACAGCATCACGATGAATTTTTATGTTCGGATAGTTTACATTCTTTCCAAAAAAAGAGAGACACGAGGAAAAACTGAATGATCATACGTACGAATTGTGCATCAAATATAAAAAGAAAAAGTAAATCTCTGTAAAATTTATGCGACAAGCATATATAATTAGAGAGTTTATTTCTCTAAAACGTTTTAAATTCTCGACAGAGATGGATGTAAGACGTTTTAGAAAATTCAACTCTTTCATCTGCGCGACAAGATAGTCGCGAAAAAAAGTCGAAGCACCTAAAAAGCTAATTCATCTGAATTATTTTCTCGTGTAATCGGATCTACGTAGTAGAGAAATCGTCCTTACTGATTAACATCTGTTACATACGGATCGGCGTTATTCGCGATTTTATCGCGATATGTTTGTTTGCTTGCTACGATGTGTTCGTAGCGTACTGCATCTGTGCACGTCGTACAATACAGAAATAACAATAAGTGATTCGTAAAGCGGAGAAACAGCAACGACATAAATTAACATTATGTGTACGTATAATAATATAATATATTATACATATACATATATTTATGCACGTACTATGCGGAGTTTGTTAAATGCCTTAATGCATGAGTGTGGCTCTTGATGTCGTTGTGCGTATACTTATAAACGTAATGTAGATGATTATTTTTACGTATGTGCGTGTCGTATATGTATCTTCTTCTTTGCATTCGTGGAGTAAGAATACATATTATCCGAAACGATATATTGATAATGAAAGTGTGACATTAGTACTATACAAACATTTCAAAATATATATATACATATATCTATATGTATATGTATATACATATATGTATAATATAAGCTCGTGTTGCATGCGATTGAATTGACATCGCACTTACACGTCGCGAAATATTCAAATTCTGGAACATCTACTACCACGTTACGGGTCACACATTCAAGGAAGGCCACATTGAGCTAATCTAACGAGTTACTGTCGAACATCTTGAATGTCCTCGTTCAAGGTATTCGACGTATTCTCTGTCTATCTTTCTCATTTTAACTTAGGATACGCATATAAACAAATAATTGCACGTAGAACGATACTTCTAAAGGATGTAGTACATCTGAGCAATTTCGTCCTTGTTGCGAGTTACGAATCGTACAACGATCTCAAAGCTAGCGGCACTGGTTCAAAGACGATCGATACTGCCACTCGGTTTATTTCCGTTCTGTGCCGAAGAAGGAGTGATATTTTTTGACACGCAGCAGAGATAAACCGACGAAGAACGGACAGTTTAGCGAGTCTCTCGTATCTAAATCGGTGCCCTCGAAAAGCTAAGTCGGTTACACTGTCGTAAGCATTAAAATACGTATGGTAGAAAACTATCAAGTTATTAATAACCTGTAAAAAGTCGCACACGCATTTCCAAATATCAGTTTCACGCTTTTCTTCATTTTTTTTTTGTGTTATTTTTATGTATCGCGAGCGAAAATTTCGGTTTTTAATGGGCGGCATTTCGTTTCAACAGTAAAATAAATAGTAAATCCCCAGCAGAAGCCTTTCAAAAACGTAATACTGTGCACGTAAGTAAAAAGCTGCTGGACTCGATTCAATACTTTAGGATGGGCGATACCAAGCGATAGTCAGCGCAAATTTGCTAGGTATTGCTTGTATAATCGTTGCTTGCGTCCTTCGTTTGACTCTCGCTGTGGACCTTTGCTTCCAAAACTGGGTCCTTGGAAGTTTCGATGACTTTCTTTTCTATATCCAAATTATAAAGCAGCGTGGCTTGGAGCGCGTTATACATACCGGTCCGAGCGTATCTTGATGCCTTCGTCAATTCGTTGACACTTCCAGCCAGAGTCAGGATATCTACACACACGCATACACGTTACAACCGCAAAAAATAATACCGATGTCAAATATTAAACATACAAATGAATAATATTAGATTGCCGTAAAGTCCAATTCATTTGTGATAATAAAAACGATTTTTCTGTTTTTGATATGGAATTTTTTTCAAATCGTAATAATTAGAAGTTAAGTTTAACGCTTTTTCAAAAAAAAAAAAATAAAAAAAAAAAAAAAAAAAAAAAATAAAAAACAAGAGATCAGAGTATTTTCTAAAGAAATTTAAACTTTTTTCTAAACTTTGATTTTTATTGTTTGAAGCGATAAAAATAATGTAAACTTACCAGTGAATAATTTACTTTTGCAAATCAGTCTCATCAACATGTGTATTAACTTCACGTAAGATCACGTATTATAAAGATATATTTATATAAGAACTCTACATATGTGTAAATTTACACTTACCGTTGTCGTCATATGCTAAAATACAATGTGGGTTCTCTTTCTGACGTTTGATAGCATTCGCGATTTCTTGCTTACGACACTCTTGAACATACTTGATAGCTTCCAGCCAATATTCCATGGCTTTGTGTACGCGTTGATTCATCGTAGTCCCGCGTAAGCGTTCCATCTATTTCACAAAGTCAAATGTTATATATGTGCATAATGTGAAATATATATGTATAAAGTGTATATAAGTGTATATAATGTGAAATATATAAGTCCAAATTGACGTACAACTAAAGATAGTTCTTTACTCAAAAATAAATGAAAAGTAGAAATATTCTTAGAAAATTATTTTGTATTTGATCAAATAAAACGATAAATAATGAAAATGGCGATAAGAGCCGTTGCAGGATGTTCGTGCTAAATTTTTAATTTTTCTTAAAGAAATTAGTAAATTAGTCTACAAGAGACAGTTAAATTGTACACCAATCTCAATTCGAGATACTTAAAGTGTACGAAAATTTTAAAATACATTGTTCTCATACATCGAGAAACTTTAATGTACGTATAGAAATTATTGTAAAGAAAGGAAGAGAGAAAAAATATCAGGGCGCGAGTGGCTTTTGATCAAATAATTTCAAAAATGAAAAAAGAATACATTTTCGTATTGTTCAATTTGAATAAACTTGCATTATCTTTTATTATAGATTTAAAATCCATTACATATAAAAATTAAACTCGTTTTAATAGGCATTATATTTCATTGCAACATAAAAGCACACGAGATTTTATTAGAGAAAAATAAAGATGTACTTAATATTCAATATATTGTATATATTAAATTGTGTAATAAATAATTTATTTATTACGCAATTTGATTAACACGTAAATTAAATATTAGTTTGTCGAAATTGTAATCAAGTTGCAAAGTTTTTGCGTGTATCGCTATTTTTTAAGCGTGCTCCGTAAAAATAATAACATTATCTATAAAAAAAATCTGAAATTATTTATATTCTACACAACCCAATATCTTTCAGCAACATAGACTATTATAAAATTTTTCTTTTTAAAGAGTATTTTGTTAATTATATTAACATATATTTTGATATTTTGTTTATTTTCACTATTTAGATATACTTACCGTTATATATATATCATACAAAATCGTTAAAAGTTATTTAAACTTGTAGAAAAGATAAAAGATATTACAATTAATTTTCCAATTTTTAACATCAATTTTCTAGAAAACACAGCCTCAAACAAAAAAGTATTTATTTAATTTGTTTTTAGATAAAATATCAATCATTTCTATATAATATGAAAAAAAATCAGATAAATAAATTTGAAATGACCACTGCATAATCTATGATGCAAAAAAATGAAAAAAATTTGCATAATTATTGTTCACTCACCTTTGCTATCAATGTAATGACACGAGCGTGCTCTCTCAAATAATCAATTATCAAGCGATCCACTCTTGATGGATTTCCCTGAAGACGCGGAATGGGTATATTATTCGCGCTGGTCACGCGTTTTCCCGGGAAATGCGCGGCCAATCCAGCTTCGCACTTCTTTCGCTCTTTTTCCAACTGCTTAAACTGCTCGTACGTTTGCTCCAGATTGAAATGCAATATACTCGAGGGGCCTGTCTTTCTAGCTGCGCCACTGCCGTTTCTAAAACTCAAATTGCCTCCGTAAAGAGCGGAAAATAATCGTGGCACAGGGTGAACCGGAACAGGAACAGGAACTGGCATCACCGACGGGTACGCTCCCGATCTCACAGTATTAATTCCCGAATTGAAGATGATATCGGGAGGCGCGGCCAACCCAGCGGGAATGCTCTGTATTTTGGACAAATGGTGCCGCTGCTTCATAATGTGATTGTAGGCGTCCTTGTCGAGTGTAGATCCCGCAATACGATCAGTCATATTGCTTCCTGAGGGGTAGCCTATCTCTTTAGCCAAATCAAATCCATCCAATTTGTACGCATTAAATTTAGACGGCTTCATGTCATTGTGATAAAACGTGGGATTCTGTTGTAATATTTTCAAAGTGTCGCCACTGCTGGCAGTGTACTGTTGATAACTGTGACAGCCGTATTTGGCGATAGGCTGGTACAAGTTACGCGAACTCAGATTCTTCGGAAATCCTATCGGCGAATATGTCTTGGTTTCGATAGACTTCGATTTTGGACTAATCATTTTCAACAAGCTATTATCGATTCTACAGTCACTAGGGAGACAAACGTTCTCGTTCGTGTCTAAATTACTCGCCGATGATGCGACGAAATTATTTGTACCGGGGGGATAATAATCGATTAAGTTTTTGTAATCTTGGTCCACAGCTTGATCCAATTTGTAGCTACGTGCCTGCGGCTGCAAGAACTGCATCTGTTCGTTTGGTATGCTGATACTCGTCATATTTAATCTGGCGGTATCGTGAACGTCCTTAAAGTCGCTAATGCCGTTACGTTGTATACCGCTTCCAAAACAAGTGTGCAAAGTTGTGTCGGCAGGCGAGAAATGCTGCAACGGCGAGTTTGACAAGAAACCAGAATCGGCGCTTAGATCAGTCATCGCTGAGTTGGGCCTGTAGCTTGGACCCTGACCGCTATTGCTGGTAACACCGTACATATCATGCATGTTTACTACAGCATTACTGTAAGAATTCGACAATACACCTTGTCTTATACTGTTGTGATATTCCAGCTCGTTAATCGGGACAGAGTTTGGTGAATCCAGGGCCAAGGTTAATGCAGTCACATTAAAATTGAGATCTGGTTTAACACAATTTGAGACTCTCGAATAATTTCCAGTCAATTCGGTTCGGCATCCCATTGAGGAAGCTAACAAAGGTTCCGTCCAGTTACTGGATTGTTTAGTGTAACTCGCTCCACTAGTGGTTGTCAGCAAATCATTGCACAATGGCATATTATTTCCACTTGTGTACATATTTCCAGCGTTTGAGTGTACAACATGCGTTCGAGGATCTGACAGATACACATTTGATGATATTTCATTGCTGCACGCATTATTCTGTTCTACAGACCGTCCTGCGCACATGCCAAAATTCAGTGTTTTCAAGTCATTACAAAGATTATTCATACGATGGTATTCACCCTTGGTATTGTTGTAGACATTATTTGTTAACTTGCTGCATGGGTAACGAATTCCTAAATGATTCATGTCACTCAGATAGGTATCCAAGGTATCTCCAGCCTGGTTAGAGCAAGAATTAGGAAATTCTGCTTGATAATATGTATTTCCACTGTTGTAACTATTACGACAAGTATCACTGATAATAGAATCTTCATCGAGAATCTTTGATACCAAGTCATTGACCATTGGATTATTTAGATCTTGACTGTCTTCGTCTTCGACATTCATCTAAACGAAGAAACGAGTCTTAAGCACTCTGCAGAATCATTTGTTGCCTAAATTACAATGTATGAATGTGAAAAACTTGATACAACATGCATAAAATTTCTACGTTACTTACATTTCTTTTTGTGCTGCAACCTGTTAAGTCATAGCTCCAATGATTGTACTCCATACCATGCATGTCCCTAGAGTAAATCTTCTGTGGCACTTCCAACATATTGACACTACGTTCGTTCTCGTTGCTCTACAGAAGAAAATAAGTCGATATAAAAATTTCAACTAAATATTAATATTTCGAAAAAATAAACGAACAATTTAATCACGAAACCAGAATTCTGCGAGAAAATTTTGCGATACTTTGAATTTATTATTCATGACAATTGCGTTGGCAAAATAATGAAAGGGAGCAACGGAGAATCCATCGATTGTTTTCGGGACGACAATAAGGAAGATTTGTCGCATTCAAATATTACGCGACATGAAGCAGTGCGACGTGCAACGACTGATAAAAGATTTGACTGAGATTTTAGTAACGAATGAAACGGAACGCGATGTCGGAGCTGTACGTCGTCACGATTTCGCCGCTTCGCCGACGGGCAAATCCAATGATACGCGGCAATATATTCGCTCGGAACGAGTGTGAACAAACGCGGAACGTGGGGGTTAATATTGTCACCATTTGCACTCTCACGAACGTACGCGAGATGACTTCTCCCGGGCGTTTTCCTGTTTTTTTTTCTCATTCGGTGGCAACTTCAAACAAACGCGGATCGCACCCTTCTTCCTTCCCTTTCGAGCATACGATACAATGGGTCCGTTCTCTTTAGCTGCACTTTCTCGCAATTTTCCTTTCTCTTCCTTTTCCTCCCAACGCCCGAATGTATATACTTGTGCCATTTTGAGTGCAAAAAGTGTTATGCGGTGCAGCTAAATAGAACAAACCTTTGATATAATCCATCAAAACGCCAGCGAAAGAAAACTTCGATCTTTCGATAGAGACACAAGAGAAAGAAAGATAGAAAGAGAGAGAGAGAGAGAGACAGAGAACATCTTCTCACCTTGCCAGTGGCGAAAGCATTGTTATCGATAACCGCGGCCAAATTATGCACTTCGGACAGAGCCATTCGTTAAAAAAAATCCTTCAACACTACCATCGCTACTCGCCATCACTCTTTCGCTCTCTCGTGCGGTAACCAGCTGCGCGACCAGTCTCGACCAGACCCGATTGTATTTTCAACCAGTCCCGACAAGGCACCACCGTCGACTGTCGCACGCGCGCCCTGCATGCAATTCTTTTACATCTCACACTGACCTATATACATGGGTTTTAAAAAATTAGTAATACAAAATTATTTTATATTTTGCATTATTTTATAAAATTAATATGACTTATAATTGACACTCTTACATATATTAACAATAGATTTTTTTAATCGCAATATTAATATAAGGAGAAGAAAAAAACATGTTTATTTTATTTTATTCTTTACTTGTTGCAAATAAATGTTTTTTGAAATAATAAAGCTCGTTTAGACTGTCCTTTATATCAATGGCAGCCCTGTGAGAATATTTCTTCTTTGGAGCTGCTTTTTTTACACTTGGATGCCATCTCCTGTAACAAAGAAGAGTTTATATCTTGTTTTTGAAATCTACTTGGTGAAAAAGGTGTACATTGACATATAAATTATGATGTAAATAATGAACCATCATACCTAGCCAATTCTTTGATTGTGCTAACATCAATTATTCTATAATGCAGATAATTATCAATCAAAGGCATATATTTCCTTAGGAACATACGATCCATATAAACAGAGTTTCCAGCTAATGGACATGTGCCTTTTAAAACGTAGTTTTCCAAATATTGCAACACCTTTTGTTGTGCTTCCTCTAATGTAATGCTACTGGATCGACACTCATCAATTAATCCAGTCTAAAATCGGTTTTTGTAATAAAATAAACATTTCTACATGTTGTAAAATAAATCATCATTTGAAAAAGATGTAAGTACCTTTTTGTGTTGTATTTGACACCAGGTGGACATATTCTTCAAAATTTCATCTGACTGATGTACAACGATATTTAAACAATCGCTCTTGGGTGTTAGCTGTTCATCAGTTATTAAACATGCAATTTCCAAAATGTGACATGTCTCCACCTCTAGTCCTGTCATCTAAAATTTGATTCTTCTTAATATTACTTTCGTTTTCTCCTTCTATCATAAACCATTAGATAATTTCTAATAATTACATACTTCCATATCTAACCAAACGATGTGTTTCTCATTTTTACTGTCGTTTTGTGTTTCTATCGTTGATGATATTGCATGGTCTACATAAAATTAAATATCTCTTAAGTATTTTTTATAAATAGATCTTAAGTTATAATTTAGACTAAGTGATAAGTGTACAAGTATTAAGCTTCTTTTGTTTTTTACGTATATATTTATTATTTGTACAATAATCACAATTACCATTATTTAAATAACGCTGAATATTACGATACAAATATTTGGACAGATATCCAACACCACGCGTGATCATATTGCTTCTCCAAACCTTATCAATGTTGCATGATATATATATTTCAAGCAAAACTTGAAATTGTTCACAATTATATTCTTTAATTTTTGAAATATTAATTAGTAATTACACTGAGAGTGAAACATGACAATTTAATAACTTTTAAACAACAAAAGGTAAACAAAAATAACCTCAAAAGACAATCATGAAGATAGAAATTAGATGAAATCTGGGACGCCTAAAGCGTCTAAAGGGTACAGTGAAGTATGACAAACTACGAGGAGTGAGATAGTGATAGTGGTGAACCTGATTGGTTATAACCTGCTATCTTACAATTCGCGAAATAAAGCACGATATATTTTAGAACACTATAATTAGTGGTGTAATCATTACATACTGGTTATTATGCTGTAATCTCGCTTCTCGCAATTCGCAATATTTCTCTCATCTTAATACTCCCTTCTGTTACTTTTTATCTCCATAAGTGCAAGATAAAAGAACTAATTGTTTGATTTTTTTCTTTTTTCTTCGGGATAAATCTCGATAAATAATATTTAATACATATTAGATTAATTTTTTTATGCCTATATTTGGTCTACATTTTAATATATTTAAAGTAATATTTATAATTTATAATTAGAAATTGAAATACTTTCATATACTTTCATAAAAAAGCTTTGCATCATCATAGCCCCTGTGGCCTAATGGATAAGGCATCGGTCTCCTAAACCGGGGATTGTGGGTTCGAGTCCCACCAGGGGTACTATTAACCCTTCTGCATTTTTGAGGACACCACACCTCTGATATTTATAGTAATGTCAAGGTGTTGGTAATCCCTCTGAATGCACAAGATTTAATAAACTTTTGGCATCACGTTAAACAATTTTTTAAAAACAAATCTGCTGATTAAATAAAATGTTATTCTTTTAATTTTGAATTTTTGTGCTAGTCGTAAAAAACTGAATCTTTATGCAGCCAATGTTATAATTTATAATAAAAATTTTGATTGTAATATTTCATATAAGTCATATAATATATAATAAATACACAATAAATACACAAATTTCTTATGTGACAATATTTAATAAAAAATCTTTATTAATATTTAATAATAGTAAAATTTTAATTACAACCTCAATCAAATATTAATATTCAAATTCCAAACAAGAGTAATTACAGCATTATATGCATATTATATGCATATTACGCAGTATTATGCATATCATTTTATTTTTTTCTTCCTTAAGCTATCTTTAGTCTGTGTTTTTCATCGGCAGTTGCAGCGTAATGTGCAATGAATCTCGCAGATGGATCGGTAACGCCTTTGACCCAGCGTGGCATCCAAAAGTATGGTGTAAAACTCTTCGCTTGTCCTCCATAATGAGATTCAAAAACATTTCTAACACAAACAAAAAATAATGATCATCCAGTTCTATCAATGTAACATTTTGTGTATTGACATATTTATTACCTGTAATAGAGTGCTTCTTTCGTCTTTGGTGTGCAATGAGGATATTTAGTATAAGCTTCATCTAGATCTTTATCTCGAATACGATCTTCAACGATTTCTTGAATTATTTGGAAAAGAGATTTCTTGATAGAAGCAACGCCATCACTAAAAGCTTCTTTGTGCCTCCAAAGTATATTGACAGGCAATAAACCAGTTTCACCAAATGCAGATCTTAACAAGTATTTTTCAATTCCATCTATACACATAAATATAACGTGTAAAGATCCGTTTTTTTTTTGGCTTCAATGTTTTTTTTTTGCACAATAACTTCTATATCTTTTATTTCTAATATTTAAATTGCAATTATTCTACCTTGTGGTTGTTTGCTGACAGGATCCAGCGATAAATAATAATTAGTGAATTGAATATCTAAAAATGGAACTCTGAGCTCTAAACTGAAAGCGCTAGTTGTTCTATCTGCTCTTAGACCATCATATAAATATATGTCCTTCAATAATCTGAGAGATTCATTGTGCGCCTCTATCGCGCTAGGTGCATCTCTAAAGTAAATGTAACCTTGTGCCAACTCGTCCGCACCTTCTCCGCTAAAGATCACAGTTGTTTTCGTGTTTTGTTTTATGTATCTCGAAATAAGATACATTCTGTAAGTAAAGAATCTTTTCAGTATTGTGTATAGCAATCTCACGACTGTTGCTATAAATTTATCCTATTTAAAATTGCAAATACATGCAAATATTTATTTTTCCTTTTTTCATAACTTTTGAATTGGTAATATTATTAAATAGCTTGAGAATGAAATCCATAAATTGGATGCTTATTAATGCAAAATTTGTCTTACCCGATCGAAGCTCGAATAGTAGTAATATCGTAGGTTTCTAAAGTATAAATAACTTTATCCAGTACATCAATTACATCTTCGTGTGTAAAGATAATTTCATGATGATCAGTCCCGATGTAGTCTGCAACCTATTGCATAAGAATTTTAAGCTTACAGAAAATTGCTGAGAAAAATGCACAAAAATTATAAAAATTTCTATCAAACCTGTCTGGCAGCAATGATATCTGGACTGTCACCCATACCTATCGCAAAGCTTTGTATCTTGTATGGCAAATTATGCTCTTTTGCATGCTTTGCTAGTAAAGCTGCAACCAAACTAGAATCTAATCCACCTGACAATAGACAACCTATTTGTCTGTCAGCCATTAATCGTTTCTCCACCGCTGCTGAAAGCAGCTTTCGAATATTATCATAAACATCTTTAGAATTCAAAGCTGTAAAAAGCAAAATATAATGATACTCATGTACTTTATTTCAATTAGTGTATTGATTAATAGAATTTTGTGCACTTACTAGCCCAAGGAACATACACTTGGAAAGAAGGTTTATCACCAGGTTTGTAATAATTGACATTTTTCAAAAGCTTTGTTCGACCATCATCTAAAATTTCATATTCCTCATAGTGGCCTGGAGGAAACGGCTCTAGTGTCCATTTGTTACTTATGCATTTTGTAATTGCCATCAGGCCCTAAATTTTATCACAATAGTAAATTGTTTTATTGTGTTATATACATATTAATAAGCAGAAACTTTTAATGACAAGTAAAAAGATATAATAGACGTAACTATCAAATTTAGTACCTTGCTCTCTGAAGAAATGACCAGTTGTCCATTATCTGAACGTAATCTAAACAGTGGTCTTACACCATACGGATCTCTGCCTATTAGGATTCTTCTTTTCTCGATATCCATTAAACAAAATGCAAATACACCATCCAAAGATTGAGCAACACTATCAGCACCGCCATGGGCATATAAATGGATAATTGTTTCGACATCGCATTTAGTAGTATATTCAAAACTGTATTGTTTTCCTAGCTGCAATATCGCATTTATATTATAATATTAGTTTTGATAACATGTAGTACATATAGTGTATATAGTAAGTCACAAAAGTATTCCATTTTCATCATACAGAATTGATATTTTTCAATACAATTTATATCAATCTGAAGTTTTATCAATAAAATATATTATAAAATATAAAGGCTTCAATAATTTTAAATTAAATATAAAATAGAAGAGCAAAAGGAAGCAAAACGTCTGTTATTCCTGCAAACATGTTTAATTTACAAAATATCGAAACAAACGTTTCCGCCTGACATCAGACCTTTAGTGTTAAAATGACAATAGGAAACATTTTGATATTTTGTAAATTAAATACAATTTGAACGAATGACAGATGTTATGGCTCCTTTTGCTGTCCTATTTTATATTTAAATAAAATATATATTTTACTGCTCCAAAAAATCTAACGTTTTTTCTAAAAAAAAAAAAATTATATTTAAAATAAAGAAATAAAAAATATGAATACTTTTGTTGAAATTATATAAAGAACAAGAAAAATTAATTACTCTATCCCAATTATATATTTCTCCGTTGCATAAGAGAAACAGTTGGGGATATTTATGTATCCTCATTGGCTGCATTCCATATAGCTCATCAACGATGGCTAATCTGTGAAATCCTAGATACCCATTCTGTAAATAGAAAAAAAGAATATACAGCAAGTAATGTAATAGTAATTCTAATTGTGAAGATAAAATAAAGATAAAGTGTATACTTTGACTTTGATATCAAACTCTATTTTAAAGGCTTCTGGACCACGATGTGATATCTTGTCGAAATTTTCACAAATACAAGTCAAGGGTTGGTTGTCCAATCCAAATAGTGCCCAAATTCCACACATTTTACTAATCGCTGGTTATTTTATATTACCAATCAAGTATGCCACGTGGTGCGAGCTTCTGTATTATAAAAACGATTTTACAAGCTTTAAAATAAAAATAAGAATCGACAAATGTGATCTTAATTTTCATAATAAAGGATAGTGAATTAAATTTTATAAAAAAAAGTAAAAACTTACAATAGCATACTTACTTTCGCATGTATCCACATTCGTACATATGCTTGCATATGCTACTAAATCGCCAACCGTCGTTCTATCACATTTTATACTTTATTATGTACACGTGTCTGCTCCGCGTGTCGCGAGATCGCACTGCTCTGATTTATCTGATGTAATAATCAGAAATTGTTGAGTTACACAGCAGTTGAGAAACGGTAAAAAACTCGACTAGTTACCATCCGTGTGTGATCATCTACAACTGTAAAAATAATTTTGCAAAAATATATAATATTATCACACTGTAAACGCGTGTACATATCTTAAAAAGATGCAGAAAATAATAAATCGAACAAAATCAATGCCACATTACAAGTCAATTATCCAAATATTTTTATATTTTCAATTTTGACGAGACGGTTGAAATAATCGGTAATATCGTCACACTTGAATTACCTCTGAGCCGCGGGGTCCCTTTGATGGTCACACAAATTGACTTAGAGCTCTCCGTCATTGATGGAATATTTTGTAGATGGCGTTCGCAATTTTACGCACCAATAGAATAGCGACATCAAGCGGTAGAGTGACGGTGGAGGTGGAGGTCAACTCGTTGTCGTCTTCTCTTCTTTTCGGTTTACCCCTTTTCCCGTTCAATCCTCTCCGCGGGGCAGGGCTTCACGGCGGCCGGTGTATTTCCACGCGCGCTCGGTTAGTCCGTCCTGTCGCAAACCCGTCAGTCTCATTTTTCCGGATGCAGCGCGCCGCTCGCGTCGGGTGTGTCGTAATCGTGCCGAGACCGTGGCACGGACGCGGACACGTACTCGCTGCCGCCGCCGCCGGTGCTTACGAGACACGGGCAACGGTGCAGCACCACAGTAGCCAACAGCTCGGTCGGATCGCGACGGTCAGCTGGTCGCTCGCGGACTCGTCTTAAATGCTGGCGAGAGCGCGCGGTACGGTACGGCACAGTCGGCGTTCGCCGGTGCTTCGAGAAGGATGTGTGTGCTTTACGTTGCCGGTCGCGTCACGGCCTACAAGCGCGCACGGCACCATTAGCCCCTCGAAAGTGTATTTCGTTAATCCGTCGTCCGAGTGTCCCCGTGTATGAGAGTGCCCCGCGAGTGTGTGAGTGAAAATCGTCGACTTCGACGAGGCTAATCGAGGAGAGGAAGCTGCGACGACCTGTGACGCCGTCGAGAGAAGAAGAGAACATCCTTCGAGGTTAGTCGGCTATGCTGTTTCGAAAGCTACAACCGCGCGACAATAGTGCTCGATTCGAGTCCCGATTCCGTCAGTCTTTATAGTGGATTCGCGTGACGACCGGCCGGTCGATATCAGTATCTGAGGACGGTGGCGGCGGCGAAACGTCGGAGAAGCCACGGTGACGAGCCACGCGGGTGGGACGCGCCTTCGTTCAGCGGTCGCTTTCATGCTGTTCGCGCGTACGAGTCGAGGAGGCGCGCGGCAGCTGTTCGCGATACCGCGCTGAAATCGAGACGTCGTATTACTTCCCTTTTAATGGCTCGCTATTTTCCGTATTTTTGCGCGAGACCTAACCTCCTTCTCGTTCGCACGCCTGCTGCGTGCGTGCGAAACGAGCGCGAGTGCGAGAGAATCGATCGGTTACCCGGAGGTTGCCCCGTAGCGATCGGCACGTAATTCACGGTGTGATTCGCATTAAGATAACAACCAGTGCGCAAACTTTCTGCATCACGTTCCACGTATCCTCACCGTTCGACGTATAATCGGAGCGACCGGAGGCAGGTCGCCGGTCGAAAGCGGTACAAAGCGGCGAGATCGGGGAATTGTTCGTGAAATTGACGACGCTGATTGTCGCGGAGGAAATTCGTGGATATCGCGATTACGCTCTGAAATTAAGGTGAGACCTTGCACCTTTATTACTGACACACAACATTCTCGTATCGTTTGCACTTTGCTTCATATTCTCGTCTCTGTTCCGCCTATTAACGTTATCGCGGCATCAAATGCTGTCAACAATTCGCCGCATTATCGATTAGCCCGTTTAATTATCGTAACACGTGGCCGGGATGGGCATTGTACATATAGACGCACTTTAAGCCTTTGTAATGCTTTTATTTTTATCTTCCAGCAAAGATACGCTCAACCGTTGATCCGCTCTCGACGAAACATTATTTTTCGTGGAATTTATGCGCTCTATTGTTCGCGTAAATATTTTAACTCGTATTATTCCAAAAGTGGATAAGTAATTATTCACCTTTGTGACCATTCACCATTCTGTTTGCTATATATTTAAATAACTATTTACAAAAGACGTTCGACATTTATTTGTATCTTTTTGAAATATATTATCAAGCATTATCTCTGGAGACTCGATTGACTTTAAAAGAACGGAAAGAGATTTGTGATATGATAAATATGATATATTTTCAACTTAAGATTGGATCGTGTAAAAGAGCCGTATTTATCTCTCGATTTTAATACTTAATAATATACTTTAGAGAAAAACGATTAGATATTTAACGTTAAATAAAATGTCGCGTGTGAGTTTACTTCACCTCATTTTGTATCGATACCGTTTCAACAAACTAACGAAAATAATATTATTTATTGTTTTAAAAATATTATTCCGTATACCGTACCTTTCAACTGTCATTAAAGATTTCAGACAGATTCGTTTAGACAGATCCAGTTCCAATTCACGTTTCGAACGGGCAAACAAATATATAAACTTTATTTTTAGAATTAGTATAAATTAACATTCATCATAACTGTACTGTAACGCATCTCGAGACCTGCACAATTTTAAAATCATGAACCGTTTACTTTCCGAGCGCATTCTTCTCTTGATCGCTGCTTATTTGCACATAAACGAGTGGAATATTCAAAGAGCTGTCGCGCTTAAATTCATACAAGTTAGCAGCGTATTTTTTTTTTTTTCAGAGAATTTTCCACGCTTCAAAGAAGCTTACATTGCTTCTTTACGCCAATTCAGATCAATTTCCGGGAGTCGCTGTAAAAAGCCAAGATTAATGCATTTATATGAACAATTAACGCACAAATTGAACGTATTTGCTGAAGATGGTCGTAAGATAATACGATGATGACGAATTACGCGATTGCTGTTTAATGGTCGGTTTTATTAAAAACACGTGGTGAAAATGCAAGTGTCGCTCGATCTTTAATGGGACATAATCGCGTCCGCGATTATACACAATAACAGTAGCAGCACTAATAATGCAAGTTACGCGATAACAAGCGCAAAATGCCGTTTGCACATAAGTGATATCATCGTCGCTTCCGATTATTCGCCGTCAATCACCTAACTTTTTTTTAATCGCTCAGTGCTTTGAGATTTTTTCTGAGAAAACATTAACTTAAAATTACTTGGAAAATTTATTGTTGACAAAATATCCGCGGATTTTAGAATATTCTGCGTGACAAAAGATTTACTTCACATTGGCTTATTTCCTCACATGAATTCGTCACGTTTCCGTTTCTATATAACAAATGTTAACATCTGTGACAATAAATATAGATATTATTTGTTTTTCTCCCCCAAAAGCGGTATATATTTACGCAACTTGGCTCGACTCGTCGTCGAATAACAAGATCGTTTTCTGTGGAAAACCGTCGAGGCTCCGTTTCAACCACGCGGCAGACAACGTGGCGACAGAGATTTGCCGACTCGTCGTCGTCATCCTTGTGTTCCCGATAACACTTCATCCGTGGAAATTTTTGGCTGACAGAAAATTCATGTCTCTTAGCGTCGTAATTATGACTTATTCGCGTTTTACATACCGTTTCAATTCGCATGTTAATTTAGCGGTTGATTCCTTCGGAGATACTCATGGTATTTAGCGATTATTTTTGTTCGTGATATCTAGGGAAATTTTCTCGTTTTTGATCGATGAGGAACATTTTTGGAAACTCTTAATAATAAAGAATTTTTTATAATTATTCTTATGCGTTTAACTGGAAAAAAAATTTTTTTTTTTCATTTGCTCTAAAAAAAATTTTCGCTAAAAAAGGTGCCAAAGATGAGATCATGCACTTGTATAGCGATTCATACGAAACTCTCGGTGAAGCTGTCGCAAACAGTTAGTGTAAGCTCTAGTCACATTAATAATACCCGTGCCATATTTCAAGATCTATCTCGAGTTTTTATTAAACTGACAGGAAATGCCGCAAAGTGTAAGATTGCTTTTTAAACGAGACCTAACTTATTCGATAACTGGTATCAAAAGCATGAAAATATGGGTTTCTATGAATGGGCCTTTGTTGTAAAGAAATAGCAAAAGAAAATTCGGTGCTCAGAGGCCATGTCACGTATGAAGACTAGTTATCATCGATAATTTTTATGCATTTTTTTTTTTTCATTAAATAAATTCAAAATACATTTAATTTTTTGGTGTAATTTCGAAATTTTCGTTTTTAAATTGTAAATAATGTAAAAACACCATTTGCAGTAATTTTAGATATAGTTTGTTGTAATTTTTTATTTTTAAACAGAATAAACATAACATGAGTTAGGTTTCGTTTAAAAAGCGGTTTTATACTTCGCGGCATCTCCTGTGAGAACAATTCTGCAAACGGCATTTTTTAATAAATTTTTTAAAATCAGTTACTTTGTACAGAAGTGTTTTTTAAATAAAAATTATTTTAAATAACTAAAGAAATATTTTTATTTTAAAAATATATATTTAACATGACTTGAAATAAAAAATTTTAAATGAATATTTATCAATAATAGAATTAATTATATAGAACTTGAGAATTGGTCTTTTTTTTTTTTAATTTATTAGCATATTTATATATAAAACTACATTTATAATTTAATTTTAAACTGAAATAACAATAGTAATTGTTTAGAGAGAAAAGAAACTCTGTTTCGTTTAAAAAGTAAATTTTGTATAAAGATTAGCGAAAAAAAATGTGTACAAAACTAGAAAATAATTTCATGTGCGAATCTTATTTTTCGAATTTAATGAATTTTAACGATTCTGAAACTTCTTGTTTTTACAATTTGATGATCTACTATATGTTAAAAATAGAAATACTGCAGAGATTAGCAAAAGGGTTTCCACGCAAGACATGAATTTAAGTGACTCGACACTCAAATCTTTCGCTTTCTTATTTTGATGAGTATAGCATTCTAAAAATAATGCAAAGATTAACAGAAACCTTACTACGCAAGTTTCAAATTTATGCGTTCTTTGTCGCTCAAATTTTGTTTGCTTTCTCCAATTCGTGAATTTATTTGTGAAAAAAATAAAAATATTATTAAAATATGCAGCAGCTTGTACAAATGGATTAGCTATAAATAACGATGATATCACAATTTTTTTTCTCAGTTAAATAAACGCGGAAAAAAAAGAAGATATTAATGTAATACTAATATTTAATGAGAAAACATTCAAACATTGCGCGTAACATTAATCGACAATTTGAGGCCATTACATGAATAAATAAAAATACATTTTAGGATATTTATTTAAAGTTGTTTTAAATATTTTTACAAAAACACTCACTTCTGTAGAACATGGATGATTTTCGCAAGTTTAATCACTCTTTTGGCTTTTTCCCCGCAAAATTTACAATCGCGAAAGTCAGCAATCTCGTTCGATTTGCGCATAGGATTCTTTTGCTCGCGGTCGCTTTACTCACTTGGGCCGATAATTGATACCAAGCACGTGCTTACCAGTGATCTCGTCACGCGCTCGATGCCAAGATGAATCGGCTTTGTCGCCACTTGGATGACCACGCGATTCGCAAAACGGCCACATAATAGCGTGCACCGAGCCGAGAGAGATGCTCGCACGCGATAAAATGTAGACTAAATTCTTGGGGAGGGACTTGAATAAAACTTTGGTGATAAATTAAAAACAAACGTCCACTTACACTTTATAATTATAATTATATTTCATTAATTTTCATCAACATTTTAATTTTCTTCTTTTTCTTTGACAGTACGATTTCTCAATTTTTCAAGTCTCGAGGGCTTTTAAAATATATATTTAAAATATCATTTTATATTATTGTATCAAATTTATTTTCTTGAACCGTTATTTGACATAATGGAACAATAAGTATTTTCTGTTTTATAAAACAGAAGTTTATAAGCAAATGACTGTGAAAAATAAACATGAACTGAATTTTGTTTAGTAACACAATTATCAACGCCATTAAGCGGTTCAATTTTCAATTATTTTTCAAAAATAGCTCCACTTTATTATAACGTAAATTAATATACTACAAAGTAAGTGATAAATTCAATTTTTCTATTTTAGATTTAATTTAGTACACTTTAATAATTATTGGCATATATGAGTGTTTTTTCGTATTTTAAATGTTGAAAATATTGGTAATTTAATTGATAAATACTTATACAAAATAAAATGTCATTTTTTAATCAAATACTTGATGATATTTACATTATTTAAAAACTTGTAATTATTATTATTTAAAACTTTTTACATATAAAAAATTATTCAAATTATTTAAAATGTTAAATTGTATTACGAAAGTTATTGGAATCGCACCAAATCTTTTTTATAATTTTTTATTATAGACGCTTTGTTGCAGTAAATTGGCGATTACGTTATGCTCATTTCATTTTTGTAAGGTTGAAATCGTAAGATCCATTGGCATCGTGTAATAAACTACGGGACAAAAGAATGGATTTGTATATCAGTTAAATTTCCAATATTTCCATCATTTAAAATACCTTCGAAAAACATTCTCATATATGCCAATAATTATAAAAGTGTACTAAATTAAAAATTTTGATAAATTGAATTATCACTTTGTTTATATAATGTTTATATAGTTTATATAATTCATATATTTGCTATGTGCAGGTACTTGTGTATGTTATTACAACTTTTTATTTCCCATTTTCTTTTTTCGCTTCGTCGTTTGTTTGTCGCGATAGAAGCTAAGATAAGATGCGTATACGTTTCTTCTCTGCGAACTCACCACGATAAAAATTATTTTTTAACGAATGAGATAATTTTGATTTTAGAGAAAAAGTTCTTGTGCCGAATCGAAGGAAGGACATTAACATTTTCTATTAATATTTATGAAAATTTAGCAAAATATCGATACATGTTACGTACATTAGTGTTATGTATTGATAAGACTAATGAGATGAGATAAAATGACTTTTAATTGTTTATAAGTAAAGTGTAAATTTTATTTTTATTTATTTATTTATATACAGGGTAAACGCAGATCTACATAATAAGAAAAATCAATAAGTATTTTGCTAATAAGTGAATTTGTACATTTTGTCGACATAACGAGAGCTATATAAGCGATATAAACGATACAATAGTACATTGCCATTGTTTAGCGAGGTGCACTTAAGGGTTCAAACGTGTACGACAACGACGTGGGCGCCAGCCTTGAATCAGCTGTTTGTTTTCAATGCCGACGAGTATTAATACACCGCGTGTCCCGTAAAAGACATGCACTTCCGTGAGTTACGTGTGAACGCTTCGTCAACTCCTCAGATACGTTGTCGCGTATAAACGTTTGCAAAAGTCCCAGAACATTTGCCGATGTTATATTCGAAATCACCTGTTGATTGAATCTCATACGAGAATAATTTTGATAAATATATTTTATTATTTATAGTGATAACGCGGAATATATATTTATAAAGCTGTTTATCTCGTTTATCGCGCGCTGCAACTCATGATTTAATGAAGATTGAATAATTGCGACACGTAGAACGATCGTAATTAATCAAAAAATCAGTGAATAGCTTCTTAATAATAGATTTTTATTATAAATTTGAAATTGATTTTTTTCAACGAAAAATGTCGATAGAGTTTATCTGTTCTATTAATCTAGTCGATTAAAGTTTTGTTGAAATTAACTGAAGAATTAAGTTGTTTATTTATTCTCGTTTGAAGTTTACGAAAGCTGCTTTTCTAATTGCTTTTATCTAGAAAATTATCGGTGCTTTGCCATTTTCATTACGCAAAACTCGACTTGAAATTTATTGGAGAATCAGTCGATTAGAATTAAGATAATTTTAATAATCGAGGATCGGGGAGTATTTTATATAGCGTCAAAGTTACTAAGCATGCCAAAATTACGCACTCCTGAGTGAGAAAAACAAGAATAGAAAAAAAGAAGAAGAAAAGAAGAAAGAGAAGGTTGGAAAAATTTGCAAAGAATGCATTGAACTGGGGGGAGGGGGGGGGCGAGAGAGAGAGAGAGAGAGAGAGAGAGAGAGAGAGAGAGAGAGAGAGAGAGAGAGAGAG